ACATGGGTGAAGCGTGTGTCGAGCCCAAGGTGATGTGCCGGCACTGTTGATCGACGCGTGAGGCGTGTGTGGGCACGTGAGACTCACGTGCTTTCTTTGGGAGGCGCTTGAGGACGTGTGGATGCTATTATGGGGCTCTACTTTGCAGTTCTGGACTTCTCTCTTGGAGACCTTGCTCCTAGTATGCTCAAAACCTGATTTCAAGCAACTTTATTTCTAGGCAGTTTGGAAAAAACACACCCTTATTTTTTGAAACGCAACTTACGAGGCTCTAATACCACTTGTTAGGACTATAAGACACCAGAAATCAATCACGCACAATAACACAGGAGATTTACATGGTTCGGAAATTGCCTACGTCCATGGGAGAGATATCCACTATAGAATTATCCCGAATGGAGATTGCAGTACTCACACCTCACAACTCTCTTTGTAGCACCCTCACTCACAGATTATACACTCTGTGTCTGCTCTTCAACTCTGTGTTTATCAACCCCTCCCCACTCAACTCAATTTATACACAAGAGATGAGGAGTAAAAGAAGAGACAACAACGGGTGGGCTTAGTTGGTGTCACCCTTACCATCTACCTGTAATAACCCGACCCTCGTACATGTTCTTTGTTATATTTTCGGATCCTATTTTGTGATTTTGAATGCTTATTGTGGAATCCTATGGGAAATTTAAATTAAGTAAGTAAACCATATGATTAAAGATGTCTATCTGTTCAATAAGAAAAGTATCTGTTACATGAGAATGCTTAGATCAGAAATTGGAAGCCTTAGAGGCTTAATTATCTGGAATTGATTTCACATATATAATCAGCATAATTTTTAAGTAATATTAAGCACTTCTGTGAAATTTCAATTTGGGGATGCTTAAACGATTAATTTTTGTCCCTATTCAAGCTTTATATATATACATGCTTATAAGAGTCTTATGACCTTAAGACTTAGCAAGTTTTCCATAGCATCTTCTTGAGAGAAAAGGGAAAAGGGGATGAGAGCAAGGAGGAATTGAGATTGAAGCTAAGGTGAATTCAACTTCCCTAATCTAATTCTCCTCCTCAATTTGAAGTGGTATGGTATGAGCTAAGTGTGATAAAAGTTTAGAAACAAGTGTATATTGAAGACTTGGTATGATAATCCTACTATTTGTGCATGTTGGACAATTCAAGTTATTTGATTAAGAATTGCAATCCATGTTTATGCCATGTTTTGTGTATTTATGTATGTGGGTATAAAGTTAGGAGCTTCAAGAACAATGATATGTGGATGAACTTCTATGGTTGCTCCAAATCAATTGAGTTACACTCATGAACCCAATTCAAGTTAGATGAATTTTGGTGTGTTGTATGTATGATTAATATGTTGTTTTAGCCTTGATTTAACACCTAGAAGTTTCAATTTAGAGCCTTGGAAACACTCCTAAAAGAATGGAATTTTTTTAGCAAATTTCGGACTGGAAGTGCAGAATCGCCGCACGTGCGGGAGTCATGGCCGCACGTGCGGGAAGTGCTGCCGCACGTGCGGGGGCTGTGGCCGCACGTGCGGGAGAGGGGAAATTTTGGGGCTTTTTGTTCTGCTAAAAAGGCACGTGCGGGACCTCAGGGCCGCACGTGCGGGGCCGACTGCCGCACGTGCGGGGCTCACAGCCGCACGTGCAGCTCATGCTGAAAAATACTGTTTGCTCCGTTTTGCGTGTAGAACCCTCCAATGTTGTCGGAATATGTATTTGATGCCTTTTAATATGTATAACTTCCTTCGAAGTAAAACGAAACAGAAAGTGATCTAATATGGAAAGGAAACTAAATTGTGTAAGATTGAATGTGTGCAGGGCACACTCTGGGAAGAACAAGCACATCATCTCAACACTGTGAGTAGTAGTATCATTATCTTCTTTACATATGTCTAATGATTTTTATTAGCATTTCGTTTACACGACTATGTTAATGTCTCAAGTACGCAACTATGATTAATGTTTCAAGTATGTATGATTCATGTATGTATGTTAATGTTCAAGCATGTTCCAAGTATGTAAAGAAAGGAATGGGAAAGATAAAATACCTTTATTCTATAAGACTCTGGGCCTACGGCCACTCAATATAAGCTATTATGATATGAAACAAAGTGCTACACGGAACTAAGTGCTACGACGTGAGCCACCTCTAGAATCCGTGTGAGACACCTCTTGAGTTCGTATAAGTATACTTTCAAGGGCTTTATGCTACTTTCAAGGGCTTCAATGCCAACAAGTTATAAGGGCCTTGAGCCACACGTTTCAAGGGCCTTAGTGCCATATGTTATAAGGGCTTTGTGCCACCATGTTTAAGGGCCTTGTGCCACTATGTTCAAGGGCATTATGCCACCATGTTTAAGGGCTTCAAGCCGTTATGAATTAAGAATGTGATATGTCAAGCTTTTATGTTCAAGATTGGGCCTAAGGCCGTTATAAGATGAATATAGAATTAGGCTAACTTTGTAACCTCTGCATTTGCTCATATATTGATATAAGTCATGTTTCAAGTTGAGCATTGCTTCATTATGTATTACTATTCACTGAGCCAGCTCACTCTCTGTTATGTCTGTTTCTATAGGCAACCAACCAGGTGGTCAATCCTAACCTATGATGCCCGGTTCCTTTTGACAACCTTCGTGTATCCAAGCACTCACGAGGCCACCTATTTTGTGAAGTTTACTAAGATAATTAGTTTATTTCTTGGCGTGTGTATAACTCCAATAGTTTTGTTACATGCCCGACTACAGGGCTGGGTCTGTA